GGGGTAGGGGATCTTCAAGAAACCCTGGAGGTAGAAGATCTTCAAAAACCCTGTTGAAGAGGCCCTGGTTCCAAACCTAGGGGAGCTGACTGGGGGATTCCAGGCCAGCCCTGGAACTCTCCTCCACCAACCAGCTCTCTAAGGGAGGAGCCCATTCCTTTCCTCACCCGCTGGTCCATCCAAGCTAAAACAGGTGGGAAGGGGGTGAGGTGAGGAGAGCAGAAAGGGGAACAGGAGTTGGGGGAGGGGACACGAGATGACTGAACCCTGCCAACCCGACCAATGTGAATGGGGACCCTGGCAGGCCTGCCCGATCCCCATGACAAAACTTGTGTGGCATAAGCCAAAACTCTCTCCTGGCTGGGATTCATTCCTTCGGCATGAGTCCCTGCCCTCATCGCTAATCTCACTGTGAGGACTGAGGTAGTTCATCCGTTTATACTCGTAGTATTCATCATCTGTGATTACGAAAAAACACATGCTCCAGGAGCGTCCTGCTACTTAAGAAAAACAAATTCTCTTGTCAGTCCATATTCAACCATTTGAGGGAACTGGTAATGGTGCCACATCAGACTTTGCAGGGCTGAGGCTTGGGCCTCTAGACCCCTCAGGCATGTGGCCTCTCCCATCTTGAACCCTCACTGAAATGTATCCAAAGGAAAGAAATAGGGTGTTTCAGCTGGTATTACTCTATGTCTGAATAAAAGAGAAACATTCTGCATCTAAACCATCGAGTATCTGTAAAGAAAATGGCTTTTCCGTCCCCTGGCACTGATGAGGGGTTCTCTTTGATCTTCCTGCAATGTCCTGTCAAGCTGTTTTCCTTCTATTGGTTTTCAACAAACAGGCAAAACAGTTGTGTGGTTTGAATGGCAAAGCCATTAGGATCTCCCCCAGGGAACACTTAGGAAAAGGAGAGGCAACCTCATCCCTAGAGAGGGGGAGAAGAGCTGCCCAAAGTGACAGCTCCTCCTGGGGCTCAGTTAGGCTTGGCGCCCTCTGGGGCTGAGGTAGTTAGTAGCACTGCTGGTTCCCAGTTTGGCAGAGGGTGTCTGGGAAGGGAGGAGGGGAAGGCACCCTTGAGAGCTAACTGAGGCCCTCCTCACTGCCAGTCTGCCAGGCCTGAAGGGAACTCCACGGTGCCATCTTTGCAGTGGGGACAGGGGAGGAGAGCAGCGCCACAAGAAGCCCAAAAGATTCTCTCCTTCCCCAAAGTGCAACAGGGAGCCAAAGGACCCCCTCTTTTTCCCTGCTCCCTAGCCCTGGGCAAGCACCACCCCCAAATCCCCCCCAACCCCCACCCAGGAGCTTAAGCGTGGTACTTGTCTTTAGAGTACAGTCTCCAGGACCCTCCCCCTCACAGACAGGCCTAGGAGATGTAGACCGATGGCCGGCCACTGCTTTGTCTTAGAAACAGCCTCTCAGCCTCTGTCTGTCTGTCTGTCTGTCTTTGGCACAAAGGAAAACGGACATACAGAACCAACTGGAGCAGCCTGCTCCAGCAGCCTCGGGGGATTTTACATGGTGTCTCCAGCCAATGAGGCAGGAGTTTTCCCCAGAAGTAGAGAGCTCAGGGAGAAAATGAAAGACAGAAGGGACTGGAAAGAGTCAAAGGCCACACAACTTCCCTGCCCTCATACCTAGGCCCCCTTCCAGCAACTAAGTCCACAAACTGCAAAAGGCAGCCAGAGCGGGTTAAAGCCACTGCGGTGTAAGCAGCAGATGCAGCTTCAAAGTAGGTCAGTGAGTCAAACCATTTGGCTTTTTATGTATTTCAAAGAATTTAAAAAATAGATCCAAGAGATGGTTCTTTCATAAAAATATGTGTGTAGCATGCACACACCTCTCTATACATATACCTTAGAGCACAGGTTTTTTTTTTTTTAAGGTTGCTTTTCTCAAAACCATCCGAATCTCCCAAGTGCTTTTTTGTAATAATTTGCTATCTTACCTAGGACAGGGTGAGGGGAAAAAACAAAGGTGACAAGCAGGATAAGGAGCTGCCCTAAGATCTGGCCCTCGAGTCACCAGACAACCCAAAATAGGCCATGCTCTCCCCCACTGTGACCTCTGCCCCTAGTCCATATTCTACTTTCTCTAGTAAAGCCAACTTTCACAATCTTGCTGCTGGGCAAGTCCAGCCATGAGTGGAACCTTGCCCAGTCCACGTAAATTTTCAGGTCCCTTGCCATACTTTCTGATCTCTTCTGGGAGCTCAATCAGCTAAAGGAAAGGATTGGACTTAAGGTGTGAAGGGAGCAGGTCCCCAAGGAACGAAACACTCCAACAATCTCATTCCAGGTACTGTGGGATCCCCCCATGGTCACCTGAACCGGGTATCAAAGCATGCTTGCTGCAAGAAATCCACTTGAAATCACTAAACGGCCGATGTCTGAACATTGCTTTGTACAAAGCACATAGAGCCAGCCAGGTGGGAAGCTTACATCTATTGGCCTGTTACCATCCTAGAGACTTTGTTTCTTCTCTCTTTGGACTACATGGTCTGGAGCCTCTGAGTGGCTGTGATGGGGACCATGTAGTAAGATCCCGTCCCAATCACATTCAGCATATCCTCTTCCCCTCTTGGCTATCCACCACTCTAAAACCAAGAATGTCCTAACAGGTCCACTTTTAGAATCAAGCAGATCAACCTAAAGAAGACAGGGAGACGACGGGGAGGGCAGTGCCTGAGGCTCTGCTGGCCTTGCAGTCTATGCAGAATGACACAGACCAAGAACAAAGTGGGGTGGGAATGAAACAATAACCAAAAAATAATCAGGAAAAGCACTGTAGTGACAAACCAGGTGGCCTGACGGTGACAGGGTGGCCTTGTCTTTCTCCCATAAACGGAGTCTTGGCTCCCCTATTTTTTAAGAAATACAGGTTTTTCTTAAAACAGTACATTTTTTAGTTATTATTTCTTTCCTCGATAAAACGGAGGCAATATCATAAAACAACAGCACCACTGGTGGGAACATCCAGCTAAGGTGCTGTCTCACCAGAGCAGGGGAGGGGCGCCCACAGGCCTCTTGGTGAGTGGACCTGGCTGTGGCCCCCCAAGGGTTCAGGCTCTGCTAGATCTTAAATCCTACCTTGAGGTCAGAGACTAAAACCCAGGGAGGACCTGGGTCCCTTGGGGTTCTCTAGTCCACTATGACCTCCTCCCCTGGATCCAGCCCCCAGCCCCCACCTTTCCCCACAGGGCCTGTTCTCCACAGAGCTCCTAAAGAGTTACTGGCTCATGTTTTAAGAAATTATGAAACATAACTTTCTCATTTTTTCTTTTCATTAAAAAAATAAAATATTCAAGACTATCAGCTTCTCTTTTGCTTTGCTTTTCTTTTTTTATATAAAATATCAGCAAGCCGCAAAGAAAAAAATTAAAAAAAAAAAGAAAATTAAAAACCGGGATTTAGGGAACAAAAGGAAAACCATTGCTGAGGTAACGTCACACCTTGAGGTAGTTTACTTCGCACAGCACTGCCTGACTCCGCCCACAAGTCATGGTAGCTTTGTCACTGTTGTCCTTGCAATGTCAGGAAGTGGGACCCCAGCATGGGCTTTTCCACATGCAGAGAGGCCTTCCTTTCTTCCGCACACACTTGGTAGTATTGTCCAGGGTAGCTAAAGTGCATCACCTGGCTAGTATGCATTACAGTCAGTAAGTATCAGGAGGGGAGGCCTAGCCTCACGTAACTGATGGCCACTGTCCTCCATAAGGGTTAGTTTCCAACAGGATCTCATTGAGCCTGGTAGATTAATAAATTAAGTGTGTTCACCGCTTTGTGCATAATGCGGCTGGTACTCTGGTTTGTTTTCAGGCACACCTTTCATAATGACAATGACAATTCATGGAGGCATAAGCAGTCAGTTAAATACTCCTCTAGATAAAAACCGAAGCAACAGTCTCCAATTTACTAAGTTTGCCACATGATGGACTTTTAAGCTTTATCGGGGGCTCAGGGTTGGGTTGTAGTCCGACCACCACAAGGGAACAGTGGCGTGGTAGGGACACAGCGCAACGCCTGCCTCAGCCCTTGTAAGAGCACACGGGCGGGGCGGAGCAAGAGCACCTTTGGGCCACTCCTCCACAGCACCGAGACTTTACCAAAGGGGGCTCACACCCCCTTCCCAGAGCGTCTATATCCCATCATTAAAATAGACTTTAAAAAATATAAAATCCGCCTGAGAGAAAACTGTGGGAATCAGGGACCGTGATCAGCCCTACCCTGCTAAGCATGCAGCACCACTCCCGTGTACCAGGGTACCACGCAGGACCCACAGGGTGACAAGGACGTAAGTGAGGTGGGGAAGCCCCAGCTGGCTGGGAGAAATTTCTGTTGTGCCAATTTTTCAAAATCTGCAAGAGCTCAGCCACAAGGGCATGCTATTTTATTTTATTTTTTTGTGATGCCAAGGATGGAACCCAGGACCTCGTGCATGCTGGGCAAGCATCCTGACCACTGGGCTCTATCCTTAGCCCAAGGACTCCTTTTAAACGTGGATCAGTTCATATTTATATTAACTCTCTCCTTTCTATCTTGCTGTTCCCAATGGCTGGTTAAGGAAGAATCAGATTAAACTATACAGGACAGATGTTCTCCAGAGTTAATACTGTAAACAAAGCTGTGTTCTAGCCCTCCAGCCTTCCTCCCTTGCCCCTCCCCCACCCCATAGCAACAAGGCTAAAACAGTGTAAATGGATACAGAAAGAGGTAAGGTATTGGTCAAGACATTAAGAATGAGGAGAATTTTCATGAATTAACCAAGAAGGTAGAAGGTTAGGAAGATTTTTTTTTGGGGGGGGGGTTAAGAAACAATCCATCCTTTGAGGTTTTATAAAACCTGAAGGAAATTTTATTTCTCTTCCCCACTGGGATCTGACCCATCCTTCTGGTGGAGGCTGGAGAACTTCCTCAAGACAATCCACGTTTAAAAGCAACCCAAGCTACAATTGCAATGGTGATATCCCAGGGGGTGGGCTGCGGCCAGCTGGCTACATTGGGGGCGAGAGATCAGGATTCCTCACTGGAACATTTTCCTCAAGACAGTGTGTAAACCTGATCTCCAGCCAGGCCCAAATGCCCTGATTCCCACTCATTCTCAGGCCTGCTGGGAAGAGCACACCGGCCCTCCACCCGCCCTCCAGTTCTGTGTTCCGCCTGCTGATCTGGAGCCAATGGGACAGGAAAGGGCAGGGTCACTTCCTCCGTGCCTGGGCCTGGTTGCTCTGTCCCTTCTGGTGCTGTTGCTTAACTTGAGCCAGAATGTCTCGGATCTTCCGTTGGGCCATCTGCATCAGAACAGGTGGGTGAGGATCACCAAAGGGGGAGGCTTTGCACACCAGCAACAGAAATGGCATTTGCAAGTCAACAGACTATTAACAGACTATCAAATAGAGGGAGACCTGAGTAAGGGTGTGTGTGTGTGTGTGTGTGTGTGTGTGTGTGTGTGTGTCCGTCCGTCCATCCATCCATTCAAAGGCGAGTTGACACTCTGACCTGGGCATAAGGACACTTCATGATATCCCATTCATAAATTAGAAGGCGCTACTTCAAACTACTATGGAGAGAAACTGCAGGCAAGAGAGTAAAATGCCCAGACACAGGGTAGCCAGCAGTGATGGGACAATCACTCCCTATGAAATGGATGAAGCACCCAAGAAAAGTCCACTTTCCTCCTTAAAAACTTCCATTGCTCTGTAGTTAGGAGCACTGGCTGCTCGTTCAGAGGATCCTAGTTCTTATCCCAGTTCCTACATGGGCACTAACAACTGTTAACTATTGTTTCCAGTGCCATTCTCCAGCTTCTGAAGGCACTGTGCACATGTATACAGACATGTATGTTAGCAAAACACAAATTCCCATTTTTTAAAAATCTAAAATTTTCTTCCCATTGGGTGTAGTAGGCCATCTCTGCACCTGAAGAGCAGAGGCAGACTGACTGGAGTTGGAAACCAGCTTGGTCTATGTAGCCAGTTCCACATCAGGACTACATAGTGAGATCTTTAAGTTTCTCCAGGAATAAGAATGAAGTTAGGGGGAAAATCAACTGACTGCAAAGTAGGATCTGCATGTAAGGTTTTCCTGACCCCCACCTTCCCAGAGACTGAGTGCTCCACTGAAGAGAAAACTGGTCCATGAGCAGTGTTTATGAGTCGGACCAAGTATGGTGACCTCACATGATCAACATGGGAGACGAAAGAAGGACTGCCCAAGAGTCGAGGCCAGCTCAGGCTACAAAGTGAGTCTGTCTGGTCTCAAACACTCACATACACATGTACACACACACACACACACAGAGGGAGAGAGGGAGGGAAGGAGGGAGGGAGGGAAGAAAGGAGGGAGGGAGAGGGAGGGAGAGGGAGGGGGAGGGAAAGAGAGAGAGAACGAGAACACAGGGGGAGGGAGAGAGATCTCATTGGCTTTGATTTTTTTAAAAAACCAGATTTCCACTGACTCCTTTTGCTGAACAACCAAAATAATGTCCGCAGCATACCCACCGCCGTGGAGCTGGGACCCGCCGTGTGAGCTGGGACCTGCCGTGGAGCTGGGACTTGCCACTCACCCTCGCAAGCCTCCTTTCCCTCATTTGAATAATGTGGCTCTTTGGGGTACAACTGAGTTAATACAGCCAAAGCCCGTGGGACAATGCTCGTCTATTATAATCATAAATCTTAGCTATCATTCCCGTGGCACTCACTGTTTCTCAAAGATCCTTAAGAGAAAGCTACCAATGGCAGGCACCAGCAGAGAGGGTATCTGGGGCCGAGCTGAAGACGTGTTCTAGCGCTAGTCACTCAAGCAGCCCCCAGGGGCCACAGCACACAGGTAAATTAAAGATATAACACCATGGTGATATTTGGGGGCTTACAAGAGCCCCTTCGCCAACCTTCTTTTCTAGCCCTTGCTGAGGGTCAACAAAGTCTGAACTGGCTCGATCTCCTGGTGCCAGTGACGAACTAGCGGGAAAGGGGCTGAAGAGTTACAAATGAAACAAAGCCAGGTATAGTGACACATGTGTGACCTCAGCTTTCAGGAGGCTGACGCTGAAGCTGAAGGATCAGTGAGTGGAAAGACAGCCTCACCCAGATGCTGAGTTACTGGTAGGGCAGATGGTGAACATGGCACAGAAGAGAACCAGGAGAGATCTGAAAAGAAACTCCAGCCCTGCTGTCATCCCTCCAGGACAAAGCTGAATGCTAACTCCTATCCAGTACAAAAGGGGCCCAGGACAACCACAGACTATGAAGATACAACAGATACAATCATTAATATCATACATAAACTTTTATGAACTCTGATTTGCAGATTCTGGTTCTCTGCCACCCTGTGGGCACTGGAGACTGTGGGCACTGGTTTGTGTTTAGTGGTAAACATTTTTAAAAAAATTTTTCCTCCCTAAATTTCTCTGTGATGCCTTGGCTGTCCTGGAACTCTCTCTGTAGATCAAGCTGGCCTTGAACTGAAGAGATTCACCTGCCTGTCACCTGAGTGCTGGGATTAAGATAAAAGACACCATCACACCCTAGAGTGGTGAGCACTTTACCCCCAGAGCCACTGAAAAATCTAAAAAGGAACAACACATCTTCACATTCACTCTTGCAACCTGAACAAGGCCAACCCAGCCCAGAGCAGGCAGATTATGAGGAGGTTGTAATAGGACCTGTGCAAGTCACATCAATCAACCTTGCTGGCTCCTGAGTCCTCTGGAGATAGGGGAGAAGGGTACATACCTGGCTGGCATAGAAATGTCCGATGATCTTGACAATGACTTGGTCATTCTCGTCCGGGGTCTGGTCTCTTGGCACTACCACCTCTGCTGCGGTCAAGTTCTGCAGCTCATTCACCTAGGGGTGGGGTGCAAGAGCAGCTCAGCGTGCCAGCAATGAAATGCGTAAGAGGGACAAGGGCAATGCAGCTGTAACGTGGTTTCATTTAGCACATATAAGGTCCTGAGTTCAATACGGAGCACCACAACAAGAAAAAGAAAAAAAAAAAAACAAACAAAAAAAACCACTATGGTGGGACTGGAGGGCAGGTTAAAGAAAGGTGGACAGACAGACTCCCAGACTCCGAACTGGGCTTGGACAGTATATAGAATCAGGTCACTGGACAAATGACAGCAAGGGTGAAAAAGCCAAAGAAAGGTGTGGGTTCTCACCGTTTTGCCGCCTTTGCCAATGACTCGGCCGGCTGCTGAAGCTGGAACCCGTATGTGGGTCTCCAGCTTTACTTCCTCCTTGGGACCGAAGAAATTCTCTTCTTTTAGTTTGCCATAGATTCTTCCCTGAGCCTAGGGAGAGGTGGCCACAGTTAAAAATCAGCTATGGAGCTAAGCAGAAGGAGTGTAGTAGCCCCAGGCTCCGGTCCCCTAATGCTGAAGTGAGACTCTCAATTATGACCCATGAGTAAAGGAATACCCCAGCACTACAGAGACAAGACCACAAATTCATAGCCAACTAGGTCTGCACAGGTAGTTCTGGGCCAGCTACAGTTATGTCCTGAGACCACGCCTTAATCTCTTCCCAATCACCTCAAAGGCTATACCACACTCATGTTCTAGGATGACTTATATGGGTGTGGTAATAGCTATGGCATCACAACCATGAGTGGCATGAATTGACACACCTTGGGTGCCTAGGAAGCCCCCAGCCTCTATCCTCACAGAGATCAGGTGAAGCAGCACAGACAGACAGAAAGGGCATTGGAATCTAATGCAAACACCTCAGATTCCTTCTTTCTCATATGCCAGTGTGGACCACAAGGAAGTGAGGAAGGAAGGAGGAAGTGAACAGGAATTAAGCTTGGGAGCACTTGGGAAGCTGCTCTGCAGCTGTGTGTCCTGTAGAAAAGACTGGAAGATGGGACAGGAACAGAAGCTGCCACATGGTCTCTTTTGCATGTGTTAAGTTCCCAACTTCAGCTCCCTGTACCCATCGAGGAAGAACAATGTCCCCTGTACCCATTGAGGAAGAACAATGTGGGTCAGACCTTGAACTGAGCCTCTGGGGGTCCAGTGATGACAACCATCCGAACTTTGGAATCAGGTGTTTCTGGTGGAGCAATCTACAAAACAGAACTGGTCAGAGAGTGTGGCTTCCAGGGGAAGATGAAGGCATCTCCAGCCCTTCTAGTTCCCTCCCAGTGCCCATTCTGAGAAGGGAAGAACAGAGCTTCAAGCCCAAGTTCCTGACTGCACACAAGAACTGTGATGACTGCATGGGCAGCAGGCTAGGAGGACCTGCCTCAGTAACCCGCACACAGTAGGACTGCACCCCACCATCAACCCCAGCTGAGGGTTTCAGTAGAGTACTGAGGGGATTACGAGACAACTGGGTGGAGCACCCAGTGGTTACAGCTCTCCTGGGGTTGGGGAGGGGAATCACAAAGCTTTAAATACTACTGAATGAAACCTGTGAGATTAACAGCACTGGCTTCCTGAGGAGTCTCCTCACTCTCCAAGATCCTGGATCCAGGATGGTTAAAGGACAATCAGCACAGACAGTGCTCACAGTGGGGCATCACCTGTCCCATACAAGGACACTGACAGACCAGGCAGGACACAGACTTTCCACCAGGAGGTAAGGGTGCAGGTTTGGAATGGGGTTGGGCTAGGTCTATTCTACATTGTTGCAGGGTCTCATTCAGCCTGCTGAGTTCATTAGTCCCGTCACCTGCCTAGCCTGGAACCTAGAAGCACTCCAGACACCCACAAGGGACTGGGCTTTTCATTTCCAGTGTGAAGTGTGAAGGGGGCTGCAGTTGATACTAGACCTGGAAAATCTCAAGAGCAAATCACCTTGATGGAGGCGCTGGCGAACCGGGAGAGCTGTTTGATGTGCTGGCCCTTCTTGCCGATGATGGCGCCCACAGCCTGGGCGGGGATGAACACCTGTACCATCTCCTGCTCCGGAGCCTGCTGCCAGGACAGGGGACTCCTTACCACAGGACCAGGGAGTGGGGCAAGGCAGGACCCAGGAACCCCTCCACTCGGCTGCCTTACAGCCTCCAAAGGTACCTAGCTGCACCCTGGGCCACAAACTCTTTAGCTCTCTTCCAACTAAAGGGAGGCAAAACCAAGTGGAAAGCTGTCACCACCACTAGGGCATATGCCTCAGCTGGGCTCTTCTCCTTGTAGCTGGCATTCTGGCTACAGAGGCCTCTCTTCCCTCCCTCTTGCCAACGTCCCAAGCTCTCATACTCCCACAGGCTCAGGTAATAAGCCCTTCCACCTACCATGAAGGAGCTATAGGGAGCAGCCCCAGTGACACTGCTGGGGGGAGGCGGGACAGCACTGGACGAAGCTGGGAAGAGACCTACAGCAGCCAGGTTGAGACCAGGGATGAGGTGGGACTGCAGCTGCAGGAGAGAGGTGAGTACAGGTTAGCCTGCTGACAGAACCCTGGCATGCAGCTCTGGCTAAACTATAGGGGGTCAGCACCCCCAGAGCAGTTAGAGACAGACAGGACTTACTGGCTTTTCTACAAAAACCTGCTTGGCACTATGGACTCTTGAGCCATGGAAATGTCCTCACTGGACTGAACTGGTATGTCCAAGCAAGAAAACAACGGCAGGCTCCCTAGTTCTGTCTGCCACACTGATGGAACCAGAAGAGGCTCATAACCTGAGAATGTGATGCCCTTCTATGAAAAGCTGAGACAATGTTTCCTTTGATTCCTGGGACCTAAGTAGTTCTGAACCTTTAGTAGTTCTGAACCTTTCTGCTATCTCCAGATTCCTCTAAAAGACCAAGATGGCGCTAGGCACGGTGAGAATAAAGTCCAGCATTGGGAGGCAGAGGTGAGTTGAAGGCTAGCTTGGTCAAGTTCTTCTAAATCAGCCTGGGCAACACACTGAGACCTTGTCTCAACGTAACAAGACAGTGACAAGCAACTTGAGATGGATGGGGTAGGGAGGATGGCTCAGCACGCACACCAGCACCTGAGTGTGGACACCAGCAACAGAGAAAGAACCACACATGACCCTAAGCCAAGTGGAGTTTGGGCAGCAGAGACGGGTTTGCTGGGTCTTGCTCTTGCTGTCACCCACCAAACTCCAGGTTTGGTAAAAGCCATGTCTGAATGAAATAAGATGACAAAGTCTACTTCGAGCCTCTACATATGCACAGCTAACCACCCACACATACACACCTAACCACCCCCACATACACACCTAATCACCCCCACAGACACACCTAACCACCCCCACAGACATACCTAACCACCCCCACAGACACACCTAACCACCCCCACAGACACACCTAACCACCCACACAGACATACCTAACCACCCCCACAGACACACCTAACCACCCCCACAGACACACC